CTCTTATGGGATCTTCAATTTGATTAAACAGAGGAGGTGAAGTGCAGATTTTGTGCCACTACTAAGTACCATGCCACCTGGGCTTTCTCTTCCAGTTACTATTTTTAGTCCTTTTCCGTTCATTTGGGCTGAGAAGACAACCGCCCTAAAATCTGGGATTTGATAATATAGCTATCACTTGTTCAAGTGCCTCACATCATCCAAGAAGTCCAGGAAGAGCGTGGGTGAAATGGAAGTGAAGGTCTTAAAACTGTTCTAAGGAAGGTTTTAAGCTATTGGCCAAAAAGTACTAAAGGAGAAAAGTCATGGGATAGCAGATCTAGAACTGGTATCAATCTTAGAGGTCATCTATGTCAAGCCCCTCATTTTATAAGTAAGGAACTGAGCCCCAGAGAAGTTAAGTGACTTGCCCAACGTCATCCAGGGTAAGGGGCAGAGCCAGGATTCAGTCAGTCAAAAAGCATTTAAAGGCTAACCATGTGTCTGTGTCTGGTACTGAGTCAAGTGCTGTGGATACAAAGCAGGGCAAAAAAAAAAAGCCCCTGCTCTTAAGGAGTGTGTATTCTAATGGATGAAAAAAGTGGATGAAGGCAATCTGAAAGGGGACAACATTAGAAACTGGAGGGATGGGAATAGTCCTTCCACATAAAGTAGGATTTGAACTGAATTTTAAAGGAAATAAGAAAAAGGAAGGAGCAGAGGTGAAAGGCTAGAGCATTACAAGCATAGCAGACAGCACGGAGCCAGGAGAGAAGCTGTCATGTATGAGGAACGGCAAGTAGGGCAATGTTGGAGTACTGGGAAAGGAGTAAGATGTAAGAAGTCTGGAGAGATGGAAGGGGCCCAGGTCATGAAGACATTTAAATACCATATAGAAGACTTTATGTTTGATACTGGAGGTAAGAAGGAGCCTTTGGAACTTACTGAGTAGGAAGGTAACATAGCATTTTAATTGCTGAGAAGAAGATGAATTTGAGCAAGAAGAGACTTGAAATAAGGACACTTGAGTGGTTAGAGGCAACTGTTGAAGTTTAGGTGGAAGGTGATAAGGGCCTGAACTAGGGCTGTGGCTGTATTAATGTAGAGAAGAGGATATAGATGGGAGATGTTCTGAAGGCACAGATGACACGATTTGGCAGTGGTTTTGGGTATGTGGGATGTGTGTGAGGAACCAAAGACAACACTAAGGTTGTAAGCCTAGTGACTGTAAAAATGGTAGTACCCCTGAGAGTTACGAGGGAATTCGTGGGGAAAATGAGGACTTCTGTTTTGGTCACATTGAGTTTGAGACGTCTTTGGAACATCGAGTTGGAGATGTTCAAGAGGTCAATGGAGATGCATGACTATAGCTCTGCAGACAGACTGGGGATAGATGTAGAGATCTGGGAATCATCTGCACAGAGATGATAACTGAACCCATGGGAGATGATGAGATTACTGAGTGAGATAATAATAGAGTGAAAAGAAGATGACCCAGGGCAGAACCCTGGAGGATACCAGTGGGCATGACATAGATGAAGAATCAGCAACAGATACTGAGAAGGAGCAGCTGGATAAATAAGAGGAGAACCAGGAGAGAAGTGTCACAAAAGCCTATGGAGGAAAGAGTGTCCAAGAAGAAAAGGCAATCAACACTGTCAAGTAGCATGGAGAGGTCAAGGAGAATAAGAACTAAGAAAAGGCATTAGATATGACAATTAAGAGATCAACGGTAACTTTGGAGGTGACAGTTTTGGTTGAAGAATAAGATAAGAAGTCACATTGCAAAGGGTTTAGAAGCAAGTGAGAAGAAGGGAAGTAGGGGTATCAAGGGCAGATGGCTTTCTCAAAGAGTTTAGCCATGAAAGGGAAAAGATACAGGATGATAGCTAGCAAGAATGATCAAATGAAGTGAGAGTTTTTCTTTTTTTTTTCTTTTTAACATGTGCTTTTAAAACTTTGGGCTACAAATTTTCTCCCTTCCTCCCTCCCCACCTACCCTCATTGACAAGGCAAGCATCTCGATACAGGTTATAGATGTGTAGCCATGCAAAACACTTCCATGGTAGTCACATTGTGAAAAACTAAGTATATTTCCCTTCATCCTATCCTACCCCCCATCTATTCTATTCTCTCATTTGACTCTGTCCCTCCTTAGAAGTGTTTGCTTCTGATTACCCCCCCAATCTGCCCTCCCCTCTCTCAACCCCCTGCTCTCTTGTCCCCTTCCCCCCTTATTTTCCTGTAGAGTAAGATAGATTTCCATACCCCATTTTGTAGGTTATTCCCTCCTTAAGCCAAATTTAATGAGAATAAGATTCACTCATTTCATCCCACCTTCCCCCATTTCCCCTACACTGTAAAAGCCTTTTCTTGTCTGTTTCATGTGAGATAATTTACCCCATTCTACTTCTCCCTTTCTCCTTCTCTCAGTATAATCCTCTCTCACCTCTTAATTTTATTTTCCAGATATCACCCCTTCATCTTCAACTCACCCTGTGCCATCTATCTATCTATCTATCTATCTATCTATCTATCTATCTATCTATCTATCTATACAATTTTTTCCCCTCCCACTACCTTAATACTGGCAAAGGACTCATGAGTTACAAATATCATCTTTCTATGCAGGAATGTAAACAGTTCAACCTTAATAAGTCTCTTATGATTTCTCTTTCCTGTTAACCTCTTCCATGTTTCACTTGAGTCTTGTATTTGAAAGTCAAATTTTATATTCAGCTCTGGTCTTTTCCTCAGGAATGCTTGAAAGTCCCCTATTTCATTGAATGACCATTTTTTTACTGAAGGATTATACTCAGTTTTGCTGGATGGGTGATTCTTGGTTGTAATCCTATCTCCTTTGCTGTGAGAGATATCCAGAATATCATACTCCATGCCCTCCGGTCCCTTAACGTAGAAGCTGCTAAATCTTGTGCTATCCTGATCGTATTTCCAAAATACTTGAACTGTTTCTTTCTGGTTGCCTGTAATATTTTTTCCTTGACCTGGGAATTCTGGAATTTGGCTACAATATTCCTAGGAGCTTTCCTTTGAGGATCTCTTTCAGGAGGTGATCGGTGGATTCTTTCAATTTCTATTTTGTCCTCTGGTTCCAAAATATCAGGGCAGTTTTCCTTGATAATTTCTTGAAAGATGATGTCTAGGCTCTTTTTTGATCATGGCTTTCAGATAGTCCAATAATTTTTAAGTTCTCTCTCCTAGATCTATTTTCCAGGTCTGTTGTTTTTCCAATGAGATATTTCACATTCTCTTCTATTTTTTCATTCTTTTGGATTAGTTTTACAGTGCCTTGATTTCTCAAATAGTCACTAGCTTCCAATTGCTCCATTCTAATTTTTAAGGAAGTATTTTTCTTCAGTAAGCTTTTGGACTTCCTTTTCCATTTGGCCAATTTTGCCTTTTAGGGCATTCTCCTCATTGGCTTTTTGAACCTCTTTTGCCATTTGGGTTTGGCTATTTTTTAAGGTGTTATTTTCTTCAGTATTTTTGGGGTCTTCTTTAGCATCACTCTCAGTTTTTCCTTTACCTCTCTTACCTGCTTCTCAAAATCCTTTTTGAGCTCTTCCATGGCCTGGGACCAATTCATATTTTTCTTAGAGGCTTTGGATGTAGGGAGTTTTGGCTTTGTTGTCTTCTTCTGGTTGTATGTTTTGATCTTCTTTGTCACCAAAGTAAGATAATATAGTCTGACTCTTTTTGCTGCTTGCTCATGATCACAGCCAATTACTTGAGTTATAAACTCCATGTTAAGGTAGGGGTCTGTTTCCAGTGTGGAGAATGTACTGTCCCAAGCTTCAGGGATTTTGTGCAGCTGTTTTCAGAGATACTTCCAAGGACCTGTAAATTTTCAGTTCTTCCAAGGTGCTATGATCAACGGCGAGGGTGTTTACTCCTATTCTAGCCTGTGCTCTGGTCTATGAGTGACCCCAAGCATTCTTTTCTGTCTTGGAACTATGAACAGGATTTGCTTTCCACAGCCACTACAAATTCCACCATGCCAATGCTCCTCTTCACCCCAGGACTGCCACCCAGAACTGTGACCCAGATCCAAGCACGGGCAAAGCGAGAGAATCCTTCACCAGTAGAGAGATTCCTGCAATTCCACTCTGAGCAGCCACTTGATTTCCCCTCAGTCTGCGGGCCTGAAGCTCAGGAGGCCGCGGCCACCCTGGGGCCGAGCTCAGGGAATGGGGCTGAGACCCCATGCTTCTCTCTCACAGCAAAAACAGACTTTTCCCACTGACCTTCTAAATTGTCTTTGGCGTTCATGAGTTGAGAAGTCTGGAAACCACCGCAGCTGCCTGTGAGTCAGTCCTCTGAGGCCTGCCCCAGGTTCACTACGGCCTGTGTGCCCATGCCGAACTTCGTTCCTCTCCCAGCCTGGTGTGATATACCTTTCTGATCAACCATCCTGGTTGTCTAGGGCTGGAAATTTGCTTCACTCTGTCTTTTTGTGGTTTTTGCTGCTTCAGAATTTGTTTAGAGTCATTTTTTATAGGTATCTGGAGGGGTTTGGGGGACAGCTTAAGCAAGTCACTGCTTTTACTCTGCCATCTTGGCTCCCAAGTGAGAGTTTTTTCAAATACAGCTTGGATAACTCCAAGCTTGGTACTCTGGATTCTGTAATATATATTCTGTATGGATTCTGTAATAATAATGTTAACTACACCTAGTATTCATATAGCACTTTAAGGTTTGCCAAGCACCTTGCAAATATTATCTCATTTTATCCTCACAACAAGCCAAGGAGGTAGGTGCTAGTATTATCACTATTTTGCAGATGAGGAAGCTGACGCAGACAGAGGTAAATGACTTGCCTAGGGTCACAGAGCTAGTAAATGTCTGAAACTGGATCTGAACTCAGTTTTCCTGATTCCATATCTAGTGACGCACCTAACATTCTTATTTATGTCATATCACATTACATATCACAGAACTGGAAAAAATATAGCTATTGAAATTAGATTTCAGTGGCATTAAAAATATACACTATAACTTACCTGCTGCATATCTCTCAAGTCTTTGTTACTCATAAATGCAATCAATAGGCTCACATCTTGAAATTCAGATTTGTTTCCTGTTGGAGGAAACTAAAAGAGAAAATGTATTACAAAAATATGTCTGAAGTAAAGGAGTAATAAAAAGCAATTGATTAAAAATCATTGAGCTAAAATGCTTTACAATTTGAATGCTACACCACTGTGTTGCGTGTTATTTGTTAATATTAATGAAATGTTATGTAAATTATAATTTTCTTTGAAAAAACAAAACTTTAAAAAAGTAACTTCAAATTCTCTTATGACAAAAAATTATTTACATCATATATACAGGGTTTAATCCAAATTTTGTTAAACTTCATACTCAATGATCTTAGAGAAATGGGCATTAAAATATAATGGAAATCATAATCTATATTATTCTGGTACATAAGAATTTTGTAATTATCAACATACTCTGGGGCCAAATGCTGTATTTTGTAATCATCGAAATTCTTATGTACTAAAAAATATGATTATAATCTCTATTATTACAATGGAGAATGAAATAGGCTGAGCAAAATCCTTTTACAAAGTAGAGAACTACTGTTTTTCTTAGGAAATGAGGCTGTACTAGAATGTTAGAAACAGAAGTATTGAAACTACAAGTATTTTCCCAATTTGATTACCAATACTGTACATGAGTTTTAATAACATAAATACCAAATCACTAATGTAAAAAGGAAATAAGCTTATTAATCTCAGTTTATATAAAGTTTGCTTGATTCCACAAGCATTAAAATAGGTGGAGAAAGTTAGTCAAGGAATTTGTTAAAAATGGGAAGGATTAGAAATTTCAGCAAAATGGCTGTAAGCAAACTAAATACACACACAATCAACATTGCCATACAATTTTTAACAAAAATAATAAATCCCATTCAAAATAACTACAAAATGCATAAACTATCTGGGAACACATACACAACATTCACATAAATAAAAGATGTTCAAAACACTCAACAGAAGTAAAAGGAGATTTAAATAAATGAAATATTCACTGCTTATGGTTGGGCTGTGCTAATGTATTAAAAATAATACTATTTTAAATTAATTCACAGATTAAGGGATTTGCCAAGAAAATTTCTGAGAAGATAGTTTTTTCCAAACTAGATGAACCAAATTCCTGGAGGAGGAAGAAAGAAATCTAGACTCACAAGGCAAATCCTGTGGGAAAAAATACAGATGAAGGGAGCATAATATTACTAGACATCAAATTATAAAGCAATAGTCATTACAACTACTTCATATTGATTAAAAGACATCAATAGGACAGGCTAGATAAGCAAAAACAAAAAAAAAACCCAAATAAACAAAAAATTGAAAACAGAAGCCCAGTACTTAATACACCCAAGAACATAAATTACTTTTTTGGAGGGGGGTGGGGATGAGCAGAAACTGCTGGGAAAAATGGAAAGGGATTTGGGAGAAAATATGTTTAGTTCATCATAGGTAAAAATGTTATGTGACTTGAATTTAAAAGGTCAAATCATTAAAAAAAATTAGAAGACAATAACAGGAAGTTCCTTTTGCAGTTGAACCTAGGGGAAGAATTATTAACCAAAGGATAAAGATACTATAAAAGACAAAATTGGTGATTCTGATTACATAAGATTTAATAACTTTTGCATAAGTAAAATAAATGAGGATGAAAGAAGAAGAGAAACTAGAGTGAGAAAAAAATCTTTGCATCAAACATTACGATAAAAGTTTAATGCTCAAGATTATGGGATTATGCACAAATATATATTACCATATAGCCACTTCCCAATAGCTAGGTGATCAAAGGACATAAAGATTTGAAAAACTGCAAATGATAAAATACTTTCACTATGTGAAAACATACTCCAAATAACTAATAGTAAGATAAGTTCAAATGAAAATAACTGTGATATTTCATCTCTCACACTGTAGTTTTGCAGAAATAAATGAGAACAGTCAATGGTAGAGGGGGTATGGGAAGACAGGTGATTCTATTGGTAACACTATAAATTTGGTTTAACTGCTCTGGATATCACTTTGGAATTACGTAGAAAAAAATGACTAAACTGTTCATAACTTTTTTCATGCCATGATCCCATTACTAACCACATGCTCCAAATAGGTTAAAGACAGAAACAAAGGAACAATAAACATACAACAAAATATTCATACAGATTCTTTGTAGTAACAAAGAAGAAAAAAAAGCAGTTCAGCAAAATTAACCAATATATCAACTAAGTCTGACAGTATATATGGTATACACACCCAGAGCCCTCCAATTCCAAAAAGAAGGGAGCAAGGTATGTTTTCATATCTCATTTTTGGGCCAAACTTTGGGCCAAAGTAATATAGCATTCACTAAATGCAACTTCTGCAAAAAGCCTTTCTTGGTTTCCCCATCCCCAGCCACTACAGCTTTCCCCTTTAAGATTACCTTCCATCTATTTTGTAAGCTTTCTCAGGGCGGGAAATGTTTTTGCCTTTATCTATATCCCTTACAACACTTAGCACAATGCAAGAACATAGTTAAGTGCTTAATAAATGCTAACTGATGAACTGATTTTTATTCTTTCACCTTAGGTTGTTGTAGTCATTTGTATACATACTGCTTTTTGCTTTTTTTTTTCCCATACTTACTTGTAAAGTGCCATTGGCAACCAACAATGCTTTAGCACCTCCTTTTTGTGCAATCTTAGCTTTTTCCAGAAACTCGCAGGTGCCCCATGATACTGCAACTACTTTGTTTGTTATTCCTGGGGAAGGAATGTCAGAAAGGTTGCAGAGTGGTGTGGTCAGATTCTCCAAACTAAATGAAGTCTGCAAATATAAGAAATATCTTTACTTTACATGGTAATTAATACCTCACTTCCCCCACCCCCAAAAGGCCCTTCTTGATAAGAAACCAGTACTAGTTTGACACATCGGCCTTGCAAATCAGATATATTATTTCATCTAAATTCATTCTTACAGCTAATTATAAGAAACTGCCAAACCAATCTTTCTACAGACTACAGTTTATTACAGCCAAGAGAATGAAATAAGTAAAATCACTCTTCATCATTATTTAACCACCATAAATTGCTATTGGCTCTGCATACTATAAAACTAATCCAAATTCACTCTCAGTATCTTCATTTTCATAGATTATCTACTTACTGCATTTTCTATTGTAGTAGGAAGAGTTGTCCAATAGGGATTATATAGCATGCAGTAGTCCTTAGATGGTAATGGTGTTCCATTTCCATATGCATGTATGATTCCTTCCTGAGCTGCTGTCTAAGAACAAAAGTTTCTACATAAATAATTCTTTTATACAAGATTTATTGGTGTTTATATGCAAGTTTAGGCATCACATTACACAACCACATTTCCTTGAGAAGAGTCTTTGAAGGACTTGCTTCTTATTTGCGGGATATTTTAAGACCACAAACATGATCAATCAAAAAACATTTATTAAGTGCCTACTGTGTGCCAACCACTGCATTAAGGGCTGGGGTACAAAAAGAGGCCAAAGATAGTCATTGATCTCAAAGAGTTTTCTAATGGGGGAGATAGGATAAATAGGAAATAATTGAAAGAGGGAAAGCACTAGAATGAAGAGGTTGCAGTATCTTCCTGAAAAGGTGGGATTTTAGTTGGGACTTAAGGGAAGTCATGTGGGTCAGTAGTCAGGGTAGAGGAGAGAGAGCATTCCAGGCATGGGAGACAGCCAGAGAAAATTCATGGAGTCGAGAGATGGATAATCAGATGGATCCATGCACAGAGTCGAGAGACGGATAATCAGACAGATCCATGCACAAACTGTGGGCAATTTTTTTTATGATGCATACACAATCTTTTGTGCAAATACATTTGTAGGCCTTGGTAAAATTCTGGGGAAGATGACTACAATAATATGATAGATTCACTAGTCCCTACACTTAGACTATGACTGTACTTCCAAACCATTTAATAATGTTGTTTGTTATCTTGTAGGCATTAAATAAAATGCAATGGGAATATCTAGCCTTTCACATTCCAATACCAACTACAGACACTCTATACGCTACTAATTTCAATCTCAGTGCACAGAATATTGTCAATTGGAAACAGGGACAAAGGTCAATACTCTTGACCTTCCTATCACATATTTACAGATATCTATTGCACTGACTTACGTATTCCAAGAAATGTAAAAGAAGTTGAAGAGCTGGTCCCTGCTCTCAAGAAAATGTGCACATCTTATCATCACAGAATGTCAGAGCTGGAGGAGAGCATCAAGTTCAACCTGTACCTGACAAAGAATCCGCTCTACCAGACTGCCAATAAGTGGTCGTTAAACCTTTGCCTCAAGACCCCTAAGTGAGGCAAAGCATGCTACCTATAAGAGCAGCTCACTCCACTTCAGCAGAACTCTAATTATGAGTAAGTGTTTCTTTACATAAAGCCAAAATCAGCCTCTCTGCCACTTTTATCCACTGCTCCCTGTTCTGTCCTCAGGAGTCATGCAGACCAAACCAAATCCCACTACCACACGGCAGCCCTTCAAATACACAAAGATAACTATAGATCCTCCCCGAGTCCTTTGATCTCCAGGCTAAATACCCAATTTCTTCAACTAGCTTTTGCTTTTTTTTTTTTAGCCAATTAGGGTTAAGTGACTTGCCCAGGGTCACAGATAGTAAGTGTCAAGTGTTTGGTCTGAGGCCGCATTTGAACTCAGGTCCTCCTGACTTTAGGGCCGGTGCTCTATCCACTGCACCACCTAGCTGCCCCTCAATTAATTTTTGTATGGTATAATAGAGAGGCCCTTCTCTATCCTAGTAACCTTTCTCTAGATAACTTTCTCTCCAGCTCATCAAATTCTCCCTATTGTATTTGTTGGAATAATTTTGGATACTACACCTCTCCTAACGTAGACTAAAACGGCATTGTTTGACTGTCATTTCACACTGTTGGCACATACTCTGTCTGAAAATCATACCCTCACACCTTGGTTTGTGTTATTTTTTTTTCTCCCCTCCAACACAAATGTATTATATTTATCCTTACTATATTTCATTTGGCCACAAATTATAACCTATCAAAATATTTTTCTTTCTTTTCATCAAATATATTACCTATCCTTCCCAGCTTAGTATTATTTGCAAATTTGAGAAGCATGACATTTATGCCTTTAACATGTTTAGCAAACAAAGACTCGAAGGACAAACAACACTGATACAAGAAGAGAACCCAGGGACATTGCACTAGACACCTCCCTTCCCAGTGACATCAATATATTAATGATTATTCTTAGGGTCTAGTCATTCAATTGATCCTGAATTCACCAAACTATAATGTTGTTCAGCACATTTCTCACCATCTTTTCCACAAGAACGGCTATATGCTTTGTTAATGTCCAAGTAAACTACAGCTACAACATTCTCCTAACCTTTTCCCCTACCCTTTGACCTGACATGACCTGTTCTTGATGAAACCATGCTGGCTCTTTGCGATCATAATTTCTTTTTGTAGATATTCCATCCTTTAAAGATTTGTTCCAGAATTTTTATCAGGAATCAGAGAAAATTAGTTCTTCTGTAGTTGTGCACCATCTCTCCCATTTTCTGCAAATGTTCAAAGGTTACTGATAGCAGATTATTAGTCACATCCATCAGTTCCTTCAACTGATTTATCTGTGCCTGATGACTCAAACTCATAAAGGTTAGCTTTATCTTGGGCATCAACTCACTATTAGCTCTTTTTTATTTGTCCCTTCCAGTCCAAAGAAAACAGAAACTATGGAGGAGTTGAATAGTTCTGTCTTCCTTCCATCATCTGCTCTCACATCATCCACCTTAAGGGGCAATCATTTCCCTTTTTTGATCCTGTTTTGCTCAATATACAAATCTTGTTGTTTCCTTTAGTATCCTTCACCATCCTCATCTCATTCTGAGCATAAGCATTGCTGACATTTCTATTAATTAATTTATTTAGATTTATCAACAATCATTTTCATAAGCTTTTGAATTTTATATTTTTCTCCCCCCCTCCCTTCCCAAGATGGCATGCAATCTGATATAGGCTATACATATACATTCCTATTAAACATATTTTCACATTGGTCATGTTGTAAGGAAGAATTAGAACCAACAGAAGGAACCACAAGAAAGAGGAAACAAAACAAAACAGAAGGAAAAAAAGAGCAAATTGTATGCTTCAATCTGCATTCAACCCATAGTTCTTTCTCTGGATGTGGATAGCATTTTCCATCATGAGACTTCTGGAGATGTCTTAGATCCTTGCATTGCTGAGAAGGGCTAAGTCTATAAAAGTCATTGCACAACGTGGCTGTTATTGTGTACAATGTTCTCCTGGTTCTGCTCACTTCACTCAGCATTAGTCCATACAAGTCTTTCCAGGTTTTTCTGAAGTCTGCCTGCTCATCATTTCTTATAGCACAATAGTATTCCATTACATTAATATACCACAACTTGTTCAACCATTCCCCAATTGATGGGTATCCCCTCAATTTCCAATTCTTTGCTACCATAGAAAGAGCTGCTATAAATATTTTTTGTACATGTGGGTCCTTTTCCCATTTTTATGATCTCTTTGGGATACAGACCTAGAAATGCTACTGCTGGGTCAAAAGGTATGCACATTTTTATAGCCCTTTGGGCATAGTTCCAAATGGTTGGATCAGTTCACAACTCCACCAACAATGCATTAGTGTTCCAATTTTCCCACATCTCCAACGTTTATCATTTTCCTGTTTTGTCATGTTGGCCAATCTGATGGGTGTGATGTGGTACCTCAGAGTTGTTTTGATTTGCATTTCTCTAATCAATAGTGATTTAGAGCGTTTTTTCATATGACTATAGATGGCTTTAATTTCTTCATCTGAGAACTGCCTGTTCCTATCCTTTGACCATTTATCTATTGGGGAATGACTTGTATTTTTATAAATTTGACTTAATTCTCTATATATTTTAGAAATGAGGCCCTTATCAGAGACACTGGTTATAAAAATTCTTTCCTACTTTTCTACTTTCCTCCTAATCTTGGTTGCATTGGCTTTGTTTGTGCAAAAGCATTTCAATTTAATGTAATCAAAAGTATCCATTTTGCATTTCATTATGTTTCCTGCCTCCTGTTTGGTCATGAATTCTTCTGTTCTCCATAAATCTGACAGGTAAACTATTCCTTGCTCTCTCTGTTTGCTTATAGTATCAGCCTTTATATCTAAATCATGAACCCATTTTGACTTTATTTTGGTATATGGTGTGAGATTTTGGCCTATGCCTAGTTTCTGCCATACTCTTTTCCAGTTTTCCCAGCAGTTTTTGTCAAATAGTGAGTCCTTATCCCCAGAATCTGGGGTCCTTGGGGTTATCAAAAAGTAGATTACTATAGGCATTGACTACTGTGTCTTGCATACCTAACCTATTCCACTGATCCACCATTCTATTTCTTAGCCAGTACCAAGTAGTTTTGATGATTGCTTGACATTTCTTACAAGATTGTACCACACTTCTGTATTCTTCTTCTATTACCTTCCCCTTGCATCCCATTTTTGGTACCTATTATTTTAAAATTGAAGTCATTCTATGAGTTGGCTAGGCAGCCACATTTACTCCTCTGTTTTTCTCCTCATCAGAATTACCTTTCTGTCCTCAGAATTTCTTTTACGAGAGCTTGTATTCCTCTTGAGTTTATTTCTCCTACAGAATCCCAGGCCATTTTCCCTTTCTCTTGACCCTCTGAAATAGACTCTACCCAAATGTACAGTACATATCAGACTATGCTTGGCTTTTCTTTCTTTCTCTATCACAGATTCAAAAATGAAGTGTTTACTTTCCCCAAAGCAGAAAGACTACTGGAGTTGAAGCCAAGAGACCCGGGTTCTAATTCTGCCTCAGACACTAGCTGTTCATTACATGTATTACCTATCTTATAGGACTGTTGCAAAAAAAGCATTTTTGCAAGCTTTAAAGCACCATATAAATAGTGGCTATTACTCAGCATTGTGGACAGATAACTAGACTTGGATTCAGAAGATCAGAAGATCTTATCTCATCTCAGACACTTACTAGCTACATGACTCTGGGTAAGTCACTTAGTTTCCCCCAGCTTCAGTTACCTTATCTGAAAAGTGGGAATTATAATAGATTTATCTCACTGTTGTTGTGAGGATCAAATGAGAAAATATAAATAAAGTGCTCTGTGAGCCTTAAAGAGCTATATAAATGTTAGTTATTATTATTAAAATTATAATTAATCTTTGAAATTTCTGATCTGATTAATACAAGATT